GAACAGAACAAAAAAAGAAAAAAGAAAAGAAAATAAAACAAAATACTGATCGAACAAAGAGCGATAAAGTTTTAAACGTTTAACATGCTACTATCGCAGTAAATTAATTTCGTTCTCCATTGTTTAATATCTTTATATGAATGTAAAGATTGCGGTTAAGATTATATAGTTTCGTATACGCATATGCATACATATGTATATTTCCTCTTTTAAAAACGAAAGAATTTTATTCTCTTTATATAATATCGTATAAGTGAAAGTTTGTTACAGTCGAATTATTTCAAGGAATCATAAAAGCTTACAAATGTAAATTAAACTAACGAGAAAAAACGTGACTAAAACGATTTTACCTAGATTAAAATAGTTAATTCAGAGCGCGCGCACACAAGAGAGAGAGAGAGAGAGAGAGAGAGAGAGAGAGAAAGATCGTAAATTTCACAATTAAAAACTCTTTTCAATTGACAAAGACTTCCAATTTCTTTCAGCCACGTAAATAATTGTGAAAAGAAACTAATTTGTCTTCTTTCTCGTAAAATGAAAATTTGATGAAATGACGAACGTTAGATGAAAAAATACCTTTATTTTGAATCAGTCGAGAAACACAATCTGGATTATCCGTAAGATCCCGAGGAAAAGGTTCGTCCTTTTCTCGTTCTCTCTTCCTTTTTCTTTTCTTTCTTCGTACGACCTTTTGAAAGTAGAACCGAGAACGTTCTCTTATTGGCCTTATCCTGGTCTTTTCCCTCTCTCTTTCTCCCTTTTTCTCTCCCTCTCCTCTCCTCTGTCTTTCTCTCTCTCTCTCTCTACGTCACTGGTCTCTTTTCAAACTCACCGGACGAATAGCAGCTACTCTCTTCTTTCTTCCTTTCGTTCGTTCGTGAAAAAGTATTTCTTTTTTTTCTTTTCCTTTTTTTTCTTTTTTTTTTTTTTTTTTTTTCTTTTTGTTATAATGAGCACCCACCGAATACGATGTCACACCTCTTTTACAAGTTTCACCTCCGATATTAAACGCTTATCTCTCGTTAAGCTTCATCATGTACTCGTGTACATACACGAATAGACAAAGAGAGAAATAGATATGTACATGCAAAAAGAGTTAATGGGAGAGAGAAAGAGAGGAAGAGAGCAATCAAACGAGATGAAAATGTGACGAGTTTTTTTTCTACCGCGTTTCTTTTGTTATATACATATATATACATATATATATATGTTTATATATATATATCTCCTCTTTCTCTCTCTTAACGAAATTAATACCGGGATGCTTTGTGGTCTTCTTCGAGAATGATACAAGATATTTCTTTGAGAAATTGCCGTACGTATGGAAGAATGAAAGTAATAACACGTCTGCCGCGAACGGGGCCCGAAGTGCGACTGACCGCGTCGAAGGGTTTCCTCGGGCCCCACCACCCGCCATCTTGTTGACGCGCCCCCACGCGTCGAAGGACGAGCGCTAATCCCAACCCAGGTGCGTACGTTAGCCCCTCCTCCTCTCTCTCTCTTTCTCTAAATCTACATGTGTACTTTTAATTATTATTAAACAATTTTTATTTACTATATTTATTTATCTTATTATATTATTATTACTATTACTATTATTATTATTATTATCATTATTATTATTATATACAGATATATATATATATATATATAAGCATACACTATACACTTGCGAACTTTGTATGATATAGTTTAGTACGGTTAAAAAGTAAGTACTTAATTTCTTCGTTTTCCTAAGAAAAATAATAATAAACGTTTACGATTAAACAAATTAAAGATCTTGTTTTAATCGTTAACATTTATTATCAATGCAAATAAAATAAAAGTATTTATAGGGTGACCACGTCTTTTAAGAAATTGTAAACTATATAAGAAATATAACGATTAGTTAGCAAAGGTTCTCGTGTTACCCACGAATTTTTGATTTGAAGTTGCATTATATACGAGTTTGCTTTTGGAGTCTCGTCTTGTTGTATCGTATGATCATGCGGAAAGACCGCAGTCACGACAGACATCGTACGAGTATATATACGAAGGGAAAAGAGATGCACGACTCCTTCTCTTTCTTCGGTCCGTTTACTCGTTGGCCAAGGTTTTCAGCTCGGTGAATACACGGTATCCATGCCGAGAACCTGTTCCCCCGTAAGAGGGCTCGCTTTACCTCTTTAAAGGCTGCGTTCCGATATTCTTTCTCTTTCTCTATTTCTTTTATTTTTACAACGTCTGACTTCTCAACGTGAGAGTAGAAAATTACGAGATTTCTAATGTCTTAACGAATCTAACAACTCTGGACGAATCATGGGACTAGCATTTTATACATTTTATACGTCTATGGGAGTTAATAATCAAAGCGATAAGAACTAAGAAGTCTAAACGAATTATGGGACAAACATTTTATACATTTTATACGTCTATGGGAGTTAATAATCAAAGTGATAGGAACGATCATGAGATTTCTATTGGCGCATATTACGAAATCACATTGATTCGTACGGACGAGAAAGACTTTTGTTCCTGTCCCCAAACGGAATAGTTCAATTATCGTTCTTTCTTCGCATTTATCTTTCTTCCTTGTTATAATACGACCTCGGATGAACGGCCAACATTTATTATCTACGTCGGAGTAATTATTATTATTTCTAATTAGCGTGACCTGCGGCTCTGTCTCGCGTGCACTGCCCTTTTCTCTCCCTACCTACACCTCTCTCTCTCTCTCTCTCTCTCTCTCTCTCTCTCTTTCCCTTTTCCTTTCTTCGTTGAAGTAACGCTGTAGTACGCAGGATACTCTCCTCCTCTGCGTAACAGCGTTGAGATCCACCGTTCACCCACAACTTTTTCTTTTCTTTTTGCGTCAGCGTGTAGCACAGTGTAGGAACGGAGAACCCCCAGGGCCGTAGCAAGCCGAAGCTCATCATAAAAGTCAGCAAGAAAGGCTACAAGAAATTTGAACGTACGCGCTTTATGAGTACATCCTCCAATCTGAAATGAACGATTATCATTTATTTTTTTCTCAACATTTTAGAAGCTTCTAATAAAATTATATTTTTTGATGCTTATCCTTTACATGGTGTATTTGAAGAAATTGTAGGATCATTATGGTATTTCTATTACCTTCAGAAACGTGACTACATAAAAGGAATGATCCGGATCGACTTGTTGTATATTTCTCGAAGATTTCCAATGGATTTCGAAACGTTCTCTTGAAAGCAATGCTTCCAAGAATGTAACGATGCATAATATTTCGCATGCGTAATACAGGATGATTGTATTTTCATATATAATAAAGATTCACTAAGCTTAAAATATTCAATATTATTATATGATTAATAAAAATATAGGTACATTGTACGATGTACGACGAAGTATCATTTCCAATTTAAAAACAAACTTAGCCAAATCATTCGTACGTATATATGAAAAATAATGCCGATATATCTCGTACAAGGGAATAAAATGTTAATAATAGCAACGTTGCTACGTTTACAGACTGCAAATGGTAAAAATTGAAAGCTTCGCGAGAGTAATCGCGCTTAATCGTTCGCGATTTGGTCTAATTGAGATCGTGGGGGGCTTTGAGATTTGGCCCTGACATCTATTATCACTACCTTTTACTCTAGCATGAGCATGTGATTGCAACGGTTATAGATGCAGTCGCACGAGTAACTCGTAATACGGCGTAAATCCATGCAGATATTATATTATATATAGGTAGGTAGGATTATTTTCTTTAGTTGTTCCGAGATCATGATATTAACATACGCATATTTTCTTTTTAGAATGTATACTGCAGATATTTCCGGTGGCGACGTATTAGATGCATATGACTACATCTGTACTATCGATCAAAATGTTTTTAACCAAACTGTCATTGCAAATCGATTCGGAAATAGAAAAGGAAATTGAATCACGACGGGACAATTTCCTACGTTATCGACCAGGGATAGGACTCCTGATTCCAGGATGTTCCATTAAATCTAATATTAACGAGTCATAATCTAAAATTGTTCTTTTGTTTATCTATTGTCTAATTATTAAATAAATTTTTATATAATATTTTTAAAAATTAAAATTATCCGGAATACTTGCGAAACGATATAATAGAAAGATGTGGCAGTAAGCGTTGAAAGTAATTTTGCAAGCAGGTTCATGGGTCCTCTCCTTTCTTGAATATATCCAATATCTTTGGAACGGGCCATAGGTCCCAACGACGTTGTACACGTTCCCTGAACCTGTCTCCATGCATCGAAGTCTGCTTGCTCACCTGCATTCCATCAAGCTTGCCCTGGAGGGGAATCTTTCGGGACCCTCAGGGTCGTATTACTTACTACGTAGATAACTTTAATCCAATCTTTCCACATTATTACGTTAACACTCCCATTGAAGGGAATGTAACGTAGATGTATATATATATTATATATATATATATATATATATATATACATTGTACGTGCATTAACATGGATGCATTAACTCTGGATAAAATTATCGTCTTTCGTCTTTTCAAATTATTTTTTCTATCTTTCTTTTTTTTTAATCTTCCTTTTCTTTTCCTTTTTTTTTTTTTCCCACGAGATCGCATCGATCATCAAAAACGTTAGAAACGTTTGCGGTTAATCCCGCAGACGATTAAATTATGTGAATCGAATGCCAATCGCTTAAGTTACATTCCTGCATCGCAAAAAGCCCACGTGAGAACCCTACTAATACGGTCCTGATGGAACCCATCGTGTTCGAGAACACGTAGGTACCTATGGCATGCGGTCGACCTGGGTCAGAGGAAGTACCTTTGGATTCTTCCAAAAGCATAAGCCCAAAATATGACGCAACTTGTGACGTACTTACATCTCGTGCGTCTCTTTTATAATTTGATGAAATGCTTTTATGATTTGAATTCAGCTGAATAAATATTTCACTTCAACTTATCTTATTAAACTTATTTGATCGCGATAATAATATTTATGAGAGTTTTTAATTGGATGGACATGTCCCGTACGTTTCAGAAAACTTGGCTTGGACCTGGTACCACGTCAAGGTGCACATATGGTGGATCCAGATACTATGTCCGTCGTCGAACTCTACCATGTGGTAATTATTTATCATATGATGCATATTCGTTATAATTATTTGATAAAAATTCTGAGAGGTTGTTTGCCTCTCATTATATTGTATAAGTCGAATCTTTTAATTCATGAAAACTCGAATATTTTCGCAGCACGTTCAGAGTGCCGAAAACTCGCAAGGCGCATCGGCAAGAGGCACTTTGAAGCGCAAAGAACATAAGAAAGTTTTAACGCATCATCTTTATTTCTGCATGCGAGACTTTGGTCACTCGGTCGGCGAGGACACTGAGATTTATTTTTCTCTTTACGATGCAAAAAGGGGACAGTATTTGAGCGAGCGTTTCTTGGTACGAATATCGAAGGAAGGCTTCTCGAATTACATTGAAAAATTACACAGCAATTGTACGATCTTCACGGATCTTGGTAATGCCGATTTGAGCCGTGATCTTTACATGGTTGCGCACGTTATGCGCTGTGGTAGAATGCTATATTCTGATTCTGGCAAAAACAAGGCAGGAAGTGCCGTTTACAGAAGACCTCATGGGGTCGCGGTACTTTCTTTAGCTGATGCTACTCAAGATCACGCGGAGGAGCTTGAATTGCCCTTTAAGGTAAACTGGCTTGGCTCGTTAATCCTTTCATGAACGATTAATTGATCGACAATACGATGTAATCAACTACCTAATGGAAAGTTGATTGTAATTACGAGTTTTCTATACTTGTACTATTCGCCCAGGTATACCAAGGTGAAGAGAAAGAGTTTCATCAATTGCACGACCAAATTATTCGTAATAACAAGTGTACTCCACTTCCTGGTCAACCAAATTATGGTATAATAGTATCCTTTAGAGTGCTTCACGGTGAATTATCTCAGGTGCGACAAGAAAATCCATTACTCTTCAAGAACATTTGCCTTACGAAGAAGCTTGGTTTCTCCGACGTCATAATGCCTGGTGATGTTAGAAACGATTTGTATTTGAAGCTCGAACGTGGTGAATTCGAACGTGGTGGAAAATCGACCGGCAAGAATATTGAGGTTAGTTCTTGATGATGCTTCATATTATATCCTAGTCTTCTTAATCTGAAATTCTCCAATTTCTTCTCCAATAGGTTACTATCTTAGTTTTGGATGCCGAAGGACAACCATTAGAAGGATGTTTGTTTGGCGCAGCAGGAACGGATGGAAGTTCTGAATATCAAAGTTTAGTTATATATCATCACAATAGTCCATCGTGGGCAGAAACTGTAAGATTAGCTATACCCATTGACAAGTTCTACGGCAGTCACGTACGCTTTGAATTTCGTCATTGTTCAAGTGAGTTTCTTTAAGTTTATTAAGAAACGAGATTATTAAGAATCGTGTTTCGATAGTTTATACGATACTTTTGAGATCCTTAATCTTATCCAAGTACTAGTTCGATCTACTTAACTTCCAGCTCGAGAGAAAAACGATAAGAAACTTTTTGCTTTCGCTTTTGTACGCTTAATGGAACCTGGCGGTGCTACGCTTCAGGATGGCTCTCACGAACTGTACATCTACAAGTGCGAAGAACGAGCGAAATTAGATTCACTTAGCTACCTATCTTTGCCAAGCTGTGCTCGAGAACCGAGCGCTACAGGTGAATTTAAGATTTATTTAGAAGCCCTTTAAGAAAAGACGAAGATTTTGTGCCTATGAAGTTGAAAAAAGTCGATTTGTCATCGAAATATTTTCATAATATTACTTAGAAAAAATATATCTTTTTCTAATCAATGAATTTTTTCAGGTACATCACCGTTCAGCAGATCAACCAAAGAAGCTGTATTCGTGCACACTCTTCTCTGTAGTACGAAGCTCACTCAAAACGTTGATCTGTTGAGTCTCCTTCAATGGAAAGCTCATCCTGAACATATATCTGAAGCATTAGGACGAGTTCTCAGGCTGGATGGCGAGGAATTAGTAAAGTTCCTTCAGGATATATTGGATGCTTTGTTTTCAATGTTTCATACCGAGGATGGTAATTCTACGGCACATTCAGGATTGGTATTTCAAGTACTCGTCTCAATATTCAGTTTACTCGAGGATTCCAAGTTCGAACACTTCAAGCCAGTTATGGATGCTTATATCTCTGGACACTTTGCCGCAGCTTTGGTCTACAAAGGTCTTTTGAGTAGTGTACAACACTGTGCCGATTGGGTGACAGCGGCTGAGAAACAGGAACCAATAATGAAATGTTTCAGATCTTTAGAATATATCTTTAAATTTATTATACAAAGCCGATTGCTTTTTGCTCGTGCCACGGCCGGCCAATACGAGGACAGTTTCAAAAGAGATCTCTATTGTGTTTTTTCTGCATTGAACAAGATGTTGGGTATACCGTACGACATGGTTCTAGTTTCACAAATAGCTTTGCTACTTTCAATCGCAGCTGTATTCGAGCAATTGGTAGCCGTATTACCTGTTCTCGAAGTTGCTAAGTTAACGTGTACGATGTTGGACTCTGTACCCCGAGAACCACCGTTACAACTGACACAAGCTAAATTAATTGCCATCAAGAACTTAACAACGTCCAGTTTGTTTCGCGAAGACGACGAAAGTAGAAATCTCTTATTGGTAACGATCTGTAGACATCTGAGGATTCATTTGGCCAGACGAGAGGAACTTCGTACTTGCACTGATATTCTCGGTGAGATACTGAGCTTTCTTCACAAGAGAGGCAGAGATACGAATAAGGTTAACAACTGTATTCATCATGACGTCGAAACACTCTGTCTATCCATTCTCGACGTATTGGTACAAACTATACTCATAGTAATCAATGCAAATGGTCCAGTACTTGGGTGTTTAGTCGCCTGTTTGATAGGACTACTTCAACTTTTGGACGAGTATCATTATTCACGTTTATGGGAGGAACTGTCTCATGGTTCTGAACGAAAAGCCCTTAAAGATTTTCTTGTGAGAGTCTTCTTAGTCCTACGCGATCTCGTTAAGCAAGAAGTTTTTCCACCTGATTGGTTGGTCATCAGGATGCAAGCTAACAACGTCATATTGAAATCTTTGCAAGAGCTTGCTCAACCCTTGGCCTTTCGTTTTCTTCATAGCAGTTTCGATTCGCAACTTTGGTCGACGTATTTTAATTTGGCCGTAGCCTATCTAACGCAACCTTCTCTTCAATTGGAACAATTCTCCGAAGTTAAACGCGAGAAGATCGTTGAGAAATACGGCGATATGAGAGTGCTGATGGGCTTTCAGATATTGTCGATGTGGTCGAATTTGGGTGATCGGAAGCTCGAATTTATTCCTGGTATGGTTGGACCTTTCCTCGAGGTCACCCTTGTTCCAGAAAGTGAATTGAGAAAGGCAACTTTACATATCTTTTTTGACATGATGGAGTGTGAACAACGTGCACGCGGTAGCTTCAAATCCGTCGAATCGGAACTTATAGACAAATTGGACATACTCATCAGTGAGAATAAGGGTGACGACGAATACAGACAATTGTTCAATACGATGTAAGTATCGAATATATTTCTCTTTTTTAATAATTCATAAATAAATATGTTCCTTCGTTTAATGCGTACTTCATAATCACATTTTGTAATTATACTTTCATGCTACATTAGGGAACATCTTAGTGCTGTGTAAGTTCGTGCCCAATGCAAACGAATCCCTAATCCATTTAATATCATTCTTCATTCTCTCTTCTATTCTTACAGATTGTTGGATAGAGTTCAGTCAGAGGATCCAGCTTGGAAAGACAGTGGAACTGCGTTCATCACGTCGATTACTCGCTTATTGGAAAGACTTTTGGATTATCGTAGCGTTATACAGGGCGATGAAAATCGTGACAAACGTATGTCATGTACGGTGAATTTATTGGTGAGTTTATCTCGACGATATATAACAGCACGTGCAACATTGCCAATTATTCAGTTGTTTAATCTCTTACGGTGATATTTTACGTGTTAATCATATTAGACACCGTTAGCAGATATATGTAGAAGGTTCCATCTGCTAGTAGTTAACGAAGCTTGCACATGGCTTGCACATCGTTGTACAATTTTAGATTGATACTTAGCACTTATCTCTCGCATTTGAACGGGGAATACATCGTTCCGTATGAACCGACAGTAGTATTTCGACGACTTTCGATCATCGTTATTACGACGTTTCAATAAAACATGGGTATATTGTTGTACTTTTTGCAGAACTTTTATAAGAATGAGTTCAATCGTAAGGAAATGTATCTACGTTACATCTACAAGTTGCACGATCTTCATCTTGCCGCTGAGAATTACACGGAAGCTGGATTCACAATGAAATTGTATGCCGATCAATTAGGATGGGGCTCAAACGTTTTACCATCCGATCATGCACATCCTCAACAACCGGAATGGCAAAGAAAGGAAGTCCTTTACCACAAGATCATTCATTACTTGGACCGTGGTAAATGTTGGGAAAAGGGTATACCTCTTTGCAAGGAATTGGCTATTTTGTACGAAACCAGACTTTACGATTACGCCAAGCTCAGTCACGTCTTGAAACTACAAGCTAAATTCTTGGACAATATCTTGACTCAACTTAGGCCAGAACCGGAATACTTCAGAGTTGGCTTTTACGGCTTAAGTTTTCCACTTTTCGTTAGAGTAAGTCACTAAACAAATTGAAACGTTAATAATATATAACGTGTAAAAATTAAAACCTAATATTTGGATTCGCTTATCAGAATAAATTATTCATTTATCGTGGCCTGGAATACGAGAGAATAGGGGCGTTCACTCAAAGATTGCAAACTGAATTCCCAAGCGCACAAATATTGATGAAAAATTCACCACCGGATGAGAGTATTCTAACGTCCGAGGGTCAATGTACGATTTCGAAATTTCTTTTTACATTCAAACTGCGATAATTTCATAAAAATTCAAGACAATCGATATCATCTAATCCATTTTTTCATTTCTTCAGATATACAGATATGCAATGTAAAACCAATACCGGAAGAAGGTAGTTTGGCATGTAGCGGAGCAGAAATACCAGAACGTGTGGTAGCATTTTATTTGGTAAATGACGTGCGAAGATTTACGTTCGACCGGCCACTTCATCGAGGCCCTGTTGATCGTGAAAATGAATTTAAATCACTCTGGATCGAGAGAACAACTTTAACTACCGAGGCGAAGCTGCCAGGTATTTTGAGGTGGTTCGAAGTGATTGAGAAAAGATCGGAGCTTTTGGCACCAGTCCAGTATGCCTGTGAAACGATGCAATCCGTCGAAAGAGAACTGAGAAGACTCGTTGCTCAGTACACAGCTGAGCCCCATAGAAACATCAATCCGTTCAGTATGAGGCTACAAGGTATAATCGATGCCAACGTTATGGGTGGAATAACGAAGTATCAGGAAGCATTTTTGACTACTGAGTTCGCCAGGCAAAATCCGGACATGGTACCGCACGTGAATCGGCTGAAAAATTTAATACTTGATCAAATGAGTGTCCTAGAGTCTGGATTGGTTTTGCATGGTCAAATAGCACCTACCGGTGTTCAACCATTACACAAAAGACTGATCGAACGATTCACTCAATTGAAGCAAGGTCTTGGTCCACTTGCCAGACAGCGAACGATTCATCAGGATAGCATAGTCAAGTAATCGATCGTTACATATCTCTCATCCATTTGTTGTAAATAAAATATATGAAGTTTCATATCATAAAGATGACATTTTTTTTACTGATAAATCCTACTTTAAATTCATCGAATTATCTTTTTTACTTTCCTATTACATTAGAGTCAATATTTTTTCAGTTCACCATTGCCACCCTTACCTATCAACGAGAAACAAAGGCCAGCGACTTTGGAAAACGTAGGTTCAAGAATGTCTCATGCTGAGAGCGATGGCCTACCAGAAGACGAAAGATTTTATTCTAGAGTCGATGGTGCACCACCGCCTATTCCACAACGAGAAGTAAGGCCAAGATCCGTCGGTTATGGATCAACACCACCTAGACCTACTCATCAAAGAACTCTAAGTAAACCATTGAGTCCAAAATTACCACTAAGGCATTCTTTGCCAACTCCGACAGACGGGGTGGATCAAAATGGCTTGAGAAGTTCTTGGAGTGAGCCTGGTCCAGAACCAGCACCACCATTACCACCTAGAGGCTGCAGTAAGTGCATTTTCTTTAAGAAGAGAACAGCAAATACATATTCGTATCTGAGTTATTAGAGAAAGAAAAAAAAAACTAATGCACCCGAATTCGTATTTCAGCTCCCGACAAAAGAGATAATAATACAAATACTGTTGTACCTCCAGCACCACCAAAAAGATTGGCATACAAACGTAATACAGAGTGGAGTACGGACGACGATTCAGAAACTCAAAACGAACCGAACGATCTTCGAGATAGTGGCATCTCAACGACCAGTTTGTTAGACTTCCAGTCTCACTTAACTAATTTAAATAATCTCAGTTACGAGGACTGTGAACCACGCACAAGGTGTAACGACATAATGAACATCTCACCACCATCTATGATAAATTCTCTCAATGTTTCTACGAGTAGTTTCCCTAGTGGTACATTCCAGGGATCGAATTCCCTTTCCGCTCAAGAGGTAATGGTATAAGTAGTTTTAAATTTTAATTTGAATACAAATTGAAATCATTTACGATTTTGGCCTGCATTTCATCGAATTTGTTATATCTAAATTATAGGTAAGCCCTCCTCCAATTCCTCCTAAAGCTCATCAAGATACCCCATCTGCACCATCAACTTTGGAAAGGAGTCGATCAGGTGGTTATCATGGACATACGGAGAACTATTCTGTACCAAAAATGCAAACATTGTCCGTAGCATCGGACACAGAGAGTACTGTGTAGCAATGACGTATCTCCTAGTCCTTAGCGATTAGTCATAATAATAATAATAATAATAATAATAATAATAATAATAATAATAATAATAATAATAATAATAATAATATTAATAATAATATTAATAATAATAATAACAATAATAATAATAATAATAATAATAATAATAATAATAATAATAATAATAATAATAATAATAATGTGTAAGTGCCATAGTCCGGCAAATCCGATATCTTGGATAGTTCATTGTTAAGATTAAGTACGATTACAACATCCCTTCTAATGATTCTATAATTGGTGATGATCTAATGATAAGAAGAACAATAATAAAGTAAAAAAAAAAAAAATAATAAAATAAAATAAAAAACAAAAAAAAAAAAGAAAGAACGAAAGGAAAATTGGAAAAAAGATTGAAAGAAAAGATTGGAGGATTTGTTTGGCAAATCATTTGCACAACACTCAAAATATACATATGCAGATAGCGTTAAGATGAGTCTATTGTCTAATGTAATCTAAATGAAATCTTCTATGGCGTAACTCGAAATGGATTATACCCACCTGCGTATAACGTACCTTAGCAAATGCACCGTGTCAAAGTGCCCTATATCGATCGGCTATTATTTATATATGATTATTTTTAATCAACGATAATCTGTGCCATGCAAAGATGAAAGGGAAATGCAAAAAAGTTAATACAAAAATAAATATCTAATAGTAACTACGCCAAGAACGATAATAATCGAGCACAGGAAAACACGGTGCATTGACTTTATGTTAAAGACAACGTTCTTCCGAGTATTTACCTAGCTATATTTTGTAATTTATTTATATTTTCAATAAGGAATAAAAAGTCATTTTTATCAATAACGATCATCGACTGGTGATGGATATTCGAGCATATCGCGAATATACTTTTTTTTTTTTTTCTTTTTTTTTTTTTTTTTTTTTTTTTTTTTTTTTAAGAGATAATCGCCATAACGTAAAGGCAAAAGGATTCGTCATAAACGAGGGTATATAAATTATATATTCTTTTCCACATACTGTTTCTTTTTCTTTCCATATAAATATATACAAAAGTACGAAAACGCGGCGCAGTTAACGATGCGATCGATCGATTTACGTTATCTCTCATGGCATGTAGAAAAGAGGACTGTAAATACTTAAAACGTATATAATAGAATCTAATTGTAGAGACTGAGAGAGAAAGAGAAAGAGAGAGAAAGAGAGTGAGAAGTAAAATGTATACATTGCACGAATATTCAATGGAGAAATTAAATTACGACGGGAGGGATGATACTAAGTACATTAATGATAAGATGAGCTAGAGATCAGTTTATCATCGAGCGTCCGATTTATCGATTATCCTTTTAATTTTTCTCTCCTTTATTTATTTATTATTATTATTTTTTTTTCTTATATTACTTTTTATGATTTTTCATTTACGGACGCTGGATGCAAGTGCTCGCAAAGTTGGAGCTCTAAATTACTCGAATTGAAATAACAAGCGTATACTATATATATATATATATGTGTATGTACTAAATATATATATATAGTTTATATCAACAGGCACTCACACATACGTGCTAATTAAAATATGGCTAAGTTTATAAGTACAGTCATGGCCTCTTCTTTTAAAACTTATCGATATACATCGTGGCTTACGATTTAGATTTCAATCGTTCGAATTTTCCTTTCATTCTCCTTCCAACGATTTGCAAAGTTATTCGAGCGATAGAAATTATCGATTGAAACCACCTCGATCTTAATCGCTAACTCTTTTAATTTGTACGATATCTTTTTGTATGCGACACGTCGCGACGATCATACGGACGTTTCCGCGTTAGTATCCTTCCTGTAACACAACAAAGTTGTTAATCGATTATACGATTTTTTTTTTTTTTTTTTTTTTTTTTTTTTTTTTTTTTTCTAAAAGAAAACATTACTCGACTAGGATTTTTCGTAATGAAAGTCATTAGGAATTTTGTGGGAGATACATGCTTACCTCCTCGCTGATCGTTTCATTTGCCAGGGCAAGCATGGATTATAGAAAAGATAGACAATTAGATTAATATGTTCCAGCACCATTTTTTGCGATAAAAATGTCAATGGAAAAATGAGAGGACAATGAAGATTAATCATTCATAAGTCAAGCCAGATAATATTTTGGGAGTGTCAGAAGTATGTGTTTCAACTTCTGACTCTACCCTTTTTAGCTTAGAAAAAGCATCACCTCGAAAAATGTCATTTGTCTATCATCTAATCGAATAGATTTGTACTCACTCAGTCTCAGTGATCGTCTGCTCGTATTGCTGTTGTTGCTGCTGCTGTCTCAGAGCCGCTAATTCGTTACTATGTTGAAGATCATGCGTCAACGAGCTCGACAATATCCTACCACTCATCGGTAGAATGAATTCTGGTGCATCCTCCAATACGGTTGGAGTGATCTTGCCTCTCTTTAAACTTCCATACCTTTCCGAGCCACTCATATTGTCATGTTGAGATCCATGCAAACTTTGACCTCTCTTTAGGCTGCCATACCTCTCAGAACCACTCATGTTCTCGTGATTTGAGTTTTGGGAATGATGGCTCATGCTCGAAGCAAGAATTCGTGTAGACATTGATAGCATGTACGGTGTAGGTGATATCGTATGATCCTCTTCAGCAGTGTAAGGGAAGAGATATTTTTCACCAACGTGATGTATCTTCTCTTCCCCCTCAGAATAATTCTCATCTAACTGACTCTTTTGTGGTGAATTCATCTCAGGATAAGGTAATGGATTTGGACTCGACGTTTTGTTGGAGGCCATCTCGTTGTCTGACATGGTACCGCCTGACCATTGACTTCCTCGAACGTCCATCACTGAGGAACGAGTTAAATTGTTAACTTTTTCAATATCATTACAATTTTATCCCATATTATTGATTACCGATAGGATTAATCTTTAGAAACTCTTTACCATTAGATGAGAGATAGGCTTCTGGCAGTTGCGAACTCCATCTCGGTGCATAAATTGGTTTTATATTTGGAAATAGTTCAGCGTTCGAACAAAGTATGTTTAGGTGTTCAGCAGGATTACTGTGTATGTTTGGAAGGTAGCTATGAGCTACTGGTTGTTGAGCCGATACACCCATGTTCCTGTGAGACCTTGAAGTAACGTCATCTTCGTCAGAACTATGGGAACTCGCAAGATCTAGGCTTCTACCACCACCTTCGGCTTGAGAACCATCGGAATCGGATTCCGAATCTCTTCGTGGATTTCTCGACTCATTCGACTCTACATCATTGATTTATGTGTCGTATAATGATCGTGTAACAAACGAATAGAAAAAAGTTTATATACCTTGTCGAGGATGTACTACCGATCGTTGACTCCTGGACGACATGTAGGGATCTCGATCGCTATTATAATTGCTGGTTGACGTTGACGTGTGTCTCAAATGTGTATCACTGCGGTAAGGGCTAGAACCAGTTTTATTTGTACTTCGTGATGTCGTACTACTCGTCGATACTCCTACATGAACTCTTCTGCATACTGATTCGGCTCCACTGTACGTCGACGAGTAAGCTAATGCTGATCTCTGTGAAATATCAAATAATTCTCATTGATTTAGTTATCTGCTAATAGATCAAATTAGCATTGACGTGATTAAGATGTTAATTAACGTAAGATACTCACTGAATGACCATTAACATTTTGACTACTGCTTCCATTAGCCATGCTACCTTCCAATAAGGGTGCCTTTTTCCCAACGCATCTCAAAAGACTCAGGTACAAATTCCTTCTCACTCTACCATTGATGAAGCAATATCCAATCAGACTGAACGCAGCATGAACGACAATAGCAACACTGAGCAAATACGATAAAGTCGGTGACGTCTCTGAAGCATTCAACACTGCCAAAGTCCATGTGGAACCAAGCAAGGGCAATGACGCAACGGATAACCATAGTAACGTCCTCAGATTACCAAAACCCATAATGTGTTCCTTCAATGTAAACGCTGCTCTTATAGACATGACAAGAATACAAAAATTGACGAAAATTGCCACGCAAACTGGTCCTATCAAAGACCAGATTACAGTTTCGTAGATCGACAGCCAACAACTGTAAATTAATACGATAAACAATATATTTTATTAAAAAAAAAAAAAAAAATGCACGAATTATTCAAGTACGGGTTCAACTTACAAATAAAAATTTCCATATTGATCTGCTCTGACGCCTATCGTCAAACCAACGATAACTGCAGGCATGCCATAACCCATCGTGTAATAAAATCTCATTTGCCCATGATTGACGTCCCTCATTTCAGTGAGCATTCGATAAAGATGAATAGAATCGACTAAAGTCCAAGCGAAGGTACTTAACCAAGCATAATGCAAACCAATTGCAGTTAATTTGCATGGAAATTCGTTGGTAACCAGTGGGCTTCTTGCTTTGAGAGCTATCAGGTACAATGTTTCGCCGAGGAATACACAGAGAACAAGATTTTTGTGAATGCTGTTTGAATTCGTTCCTGTGCCACGTATCAAAGCTAAAATGAGCAGGGCTGAAAGTAGAAGTGGTAGGGCGAGCATGAAAGCACTGTAACTGGTAACATCCTCTAACAGGGATGGTTCAGGCACATATTCGAGGTCCAATACATCTGTTAACACAGCGAAAGTCGACAACTGTAGACAGGAACAATTGACGATTGAACCATAGGACAAACTATTGTCCTCTATTTCCGTTGTACATCCCATTCGACTCCATTCTCCGGTTCTGTATAAAAAGAATCAAGAAATCAGATAGCTTTTGATGACGTTGAAATTAATTGATCGAACAACATTAATTTTCCTTACCCTTTCGCTGTATTCCAATGAACACATTGTGGATTGGTTCGCGTCTTAAAATCGTCGTTCTCACTTAACCACAATCTTACTTGAACAGGTGATTGCAATGGAATTCCAGTCATCGATTCGTAACCATTTTTGGACGGTACCAAAACTGACACAGTCATCACAGGTGACCCTACTGATACCTCAACACCCCATCTAACGGCCACCGAATCATCGAAACGTTGAGGTAAAAGTGAACCTAATTCTTTATATTGGACATAACTCAGTACAGCCTTACGATTGCTCAAACTATTTCTCACGTTCAGTTCTCCTTGTGCCAATGGTTTAATACCCAATATACTCAGAGGTACTTGTATCTTGGAATGTGTATCGAATCTCTTTGGATCTGCCATGTAATTGTTGTACTTTGGAAAACTTATCGATGGTCCGAAATGTGTAGTCGTACTTAGAAACGCCGAGGTATCAGGCAAAACGACTTTTCGATCTGCTTCCGACGGCCTTGCGGTAGACATCGAAGGATCCTCTTTGTATTCCGCTGCTTCGAAACCAAAGAGACTCTCTGAAGTTACTATATCCAATCCAAGTACTATATTACGATCAACGACTTCAAAGGGGCTAGTAAAAGTATCGTGCTGAGACGCAGTCAATGTGT